CCACTTCCCTCTTCCTGAAAACACTATCGTTGTATATTCAATCACAGGAAATAAAAATATGAGTATCGGGAGTCTGGCTATTTCGCAGTTTCATCGAATAAATCTTGAACCTACGTTAATTCCACCAATTACCCCATACACATCGTCCAGCAACAACCACAGTGCTCCCTGAACTAAAAAGAACATTTACGTCAGTTGATCGTTAAGCTTTTATGAATTTTCTGCTTCCTAAAAGCATGTAAACCTTTTGTAATCACTGTACTTGCATACTTCGTCTTGNNNNGAAGAGTCTACGTCGTACTAAGCAAATCGTTTAAAATCAGGAGCGGTGTTCATCAAGGACACATTATCTCGCCATCCCTGTTCAATTTCATCGAAGATCAATTAGTGGAGAACGCATTCAATGGTTTACAAAATGTTGATATTGACTGGGCAGCTGGGCAAAACCTGTGCAGTTNGTGCAGTTTACAGCACGTTGACACGATTGTTTGTCTTTTGCGAATGGACAATGAGCAAAGCGCTCTTGACAGACATTCAAGTTCTGTAACTCCATTAGGTATGCGCTTTGCACCTTCAAAGTACAAAGTGGTGCTACAAGATTAGGTGTCGTCTACTCCGGCTCTGATGCTTGATGGCCAAGAATTAGTTAGCGTGATATATGACAGTAGCGTAATCAAGGTGGTAACCACCCCACTTCTCAGGGGTGAGCAACATAAGTAGAAACGAAACACCTTTGGTGCCAACTTGATGTTTCCTTGAAACTGAAAGGTTATATATACTGCCCCAGTGTGCGGTCAGTTCTACTTTACGGTTGTGAAACCGTTGATCTGCACGACCGTCAATTTTTATAGAGTTTGGTGCCGTTTGGATGGAGCTTGGGTATAAGCGTCTCTTAGGTGAGCCGTCACAGATATGGTAATGATGTGATAAACATTTTGCTGTCACATACAACTCAGATTAGTAGGAGACGTATTTCGCATGCACAGTTGTCGTCTACGGAATCAGACCTTACTTGCAGTTTGACTCCAGATTTGAGCAAACTAAGTGGCGGTCATCCGGTTACGTGGAAACGCGGCATGACAAGTTGCACAGAGAGATTAGGTATAATGGGAGTTTCCCAGCTTCAAGATTGGGGACTGAAAGACCCTCCACTGGTTGGTTGGAGATGTTGTCATTTTCTTCAGTATATGACAGTGAACCGACAGCAATGGCGTACTTCCTGGGCAGAACACAAGCATGCCACCCACTACGCCACCGGGCAGCTGATCAGACCGTTTTTCGTTTTCGTTGAAATAAGTAGTCAGGTTGTGAATATTCCCAATCGAGTCATAACCCGGAGGCTAGTGCTGAGATGAGCAGGATGTGTGGCCCGCAACAAGCTCGCAAAGATGGGTTGTGCTATATCATGTAAATGGAAAACGGAAAACGGTTCAATCAGCTGCCCAGTGGCCGATTGGGTACAATGCTTGCGTTCTGCCCATGAAGTTGCTGGTTCGATTCCCGGTGGGGTCGATGGATTTGCGCTGCTGTCAAAACAGCTGTCCAATGCTTCCTAGTTTTTCAGTTTACAATTCATTTGATACATACACGACGAAATCGCCCTCGCGATTCAACCAACTTCTCCATTACTCACTTGAAACGGTGTACTTGTTGTCATTTCTGATCGGGCCAGAGTGCTTAAAAAGCTATGTACAAATGGGTTGCTTTGACTGATAGTAATTCAGATTTTGTCTACCGTGAGTTTGACGACTTGTGAAGCTCAAAAGGGACGAAGGCAATCTCCGAATAATAAGCTTACAAATATAATGAAATCGGCGTGTTTACTTTTGAGTAGTCAGAGTGACTGCAATTTCAGTTTCGCAACTTGTGGCCTATCACTCATCTCAGAACCATATGAGAACAGAAGCTGTGAAGTTTGACAAAGATCAAACCGGACCAAATAATCGCACTGCAAGGTTTACACCGTTATATCGATATTTTTCTTTATCATGTGCATGTGGTTATTTTTATTTCATTTGAAAAGTGCTTCAAAAAGTGTCAAATGATGAACTGTCTCTGACCTCAACTCTGTCTTCACTCCTTGCGTCTCGTTCGATTTCAACTCATTCCAGCGAACTTTTGTACATTTGACCCGAAATAAGAGAGTATATCTTTTGTAAAAATCTATTCTTTAAATGGAGGAATTCTATTTTCCATTACAGTACATCGAACCGTCTACTACTGGGTCTGACCTGTTTTGAACCTTTGTGTCTCTTAACTTGATTTCCTCTGATAGATAAAAAATAAGGACTATAAGTTCGTTGAAACTACGATAAACGTTTCGTAGATTCTGATTTCTGTTCCTTATTCAAGCACTCCTTTCATGCCAACCTTATGAAAGCTTTATAAACTTTCCCAATTTAACTCGTGGGTTGCGGATCGCTCGTTACCACAACAGAATAATGAGTTTTCATGAGTCCCGGGTTTACCTCTTCCACGGTTCACGACAAATGTGATAAAAGATTGATAAAGATTTCTATAGTGATAATTGAAAACGCACTGCTCGAAAAAGCCATAAACTACGCATTTTTAAAGTATACACTACTCTTTTATGTGTATGTCCGTTAAACCTTTTTATACTATGTACAACTGGCAAGCTGCAACGGGCCAGATCAATGGGATTGTGAGAACATAGACATTCTGAGACAGATATCAAAGTGATTAAACTAGGGTGTCACATTAAATGTATCACAGAAGTTTCAGACCTCCAGATTATCAATGATTTTATTCCAATATCTATTAAATCCGCAATTAACAATGGACATCCGTGAAATAGTCCGCAACGTTCAACGTACCATCTTGAACGCCTGTTGACGGATGAAATAAGGCAGTTTCTATTTTCTTTTTAACTTCAGCAAAGAATCGAGCATTGTAAGTTATTAAACAATCTTTTTAGCTGTATTATTCCGATTTGATGGTGAGGAGAAGAAGAATTGAAAAACCATGAGCGGCCAACCTAAAACTTGACATAACCTCTTGGACCATAAAACCTAAGAAACAACGGTTTACTTCGGTCAGTTCGGACTTGCCTTCCTCCAAGCATCGTCTTCATGCACAATTCTCACTTTGATTGATAGGTTATACACTCAGGAAACACTAGACTACGTTTTTGCTCTT